TAAAATGGCAACTGGGACAGAATTTGGTCCAATGAGCATATTGCAAAATTCTTCTTTCCCCCCAAATCCTGGCATAGCTGATTTCATGGAGGATTTATCCTAAGTGACTGTATTAGAAGCCTTGAGCACTTAGTACATGCCTCTTACATAAAAAGAACAGGGCTCTTGCCAATGGAAACAAGAAATAATCAGCCAATTAGAAAGAAAACGTTTTTCCTGGAATATGGACAGATTGCAGTCAAAAAGAAAAGATCATCCCTTCCCAAACTTTATCATTAAATTCAACATCATACTTTCCAGAAAATGTAGAAACTGCAGGCTCTAGAGCTGGAAGTTTTAAATCCTACCCATTGTGGGCAATTTTATGCTTAAAAGAATGCCATTTGCAAGTTCTTTGCATATTAATATTGGACTACTTCTGCTTTGTGGCTGCTGCTATTGTTGCTTAATCAGGTAAATAGTACGTACTTTTTTATTTTATGAAATTGTGTCCTTCTATACAAGATTGTATTCAGAAGATAAGCAACATACAAAACAGTATTAGGAATGATGTAGAAGCTTAAGACTTCATTACTTTATACATGAAATTGTAATTAAACTGAAGTCAATATGTGTACCAAATGTACAAACTGTATTTCAACAAAAATAGGGTTCCCGAGTATTTTAGACACAGCTGAGAAGATCCATGTTAACCTAACAGATTTTAATGGAAGTAAACCAGATTCTAATCTACAGATGTCCACATAAATTTAAGGCACCAGGCTAGAAACTGAGAGACTGGGAGTTTTATTCTCCCCTTAGGCACAAGGCCAGATGGGTGGTTTTGGACCAGTCACTCTCTCTCAACCCTAGGAAGGTGGCAATAGAAATCCACTTCTAAAGTCTTCCTAAGAAAGCTACAGATATTTGTCCCAGGCAGTTGCCAGGAGTCAATGCTGACTTAAGGCACAATGTGTGTTTGTGTCTATATGTATCTGTGCCTATAGGTCACTACATTTTCCTCCTATTCTATACACAAGTAAGGATTCTTTATTTGCCTCTTCAGAATATAATTTAAAACATTCTCAGCCTTGATATTTTTTGTGATAGTTCCAGTCATTATACAAGCTATATGATAGTTTAGCTCAATTTTACTTAAGGAAGGTGTGTTATTTTTAAGGAAAACATTCTTTTGGCTGAACATAATTGCTATTTATTAATTTCATAAGCCAATCATCAATATATTCAAATCAGAGCTTACAGGAGGTCTTGTTTCTCTAGGCCTTAGAATTTCCTGAATGTTATTGTTTAGTATAGAGGCATTACTCAAAACATCTCATATGGAATCTTCATCATAGCTTGTCAAAGTTGGAAAGCTAGAAATTATAAAACAATATAATTCTAGGTCCGCTAAATTGTTCTTTGGGAAATATTAGTTTAGTTTTATTGCATGTTTGGGCATTGGCTTCTAATTTCACAGTAGCTTGGAAGTGATCGTATCATGTATTGAAGTGTTCAAGAAGTAGGTAATATTGAAAAATATACTAGTCAAAATTAGGGAAAAATCCTGTCCCAAATATTGAAATAAAAATACAGAGTTCTCCTTCTCGATATCCTTTCATAGATCCATTTAGGATACCGATGATAAATTTCATGGCCAGTTGGAACTGTCATTGGACAGAGTCATTTGGTTGAGCTGTATAGTCACAGAAATTGAGTAAATAAAAAATAAAAATAAATATCAGGGAAGGAGTGGTGATAAACAGTTACCTGGAAGGAAACTGTTGGGTCTGGAAATCTTATCTAACATTAGATTTTTGCCCTTAAAGTGCCTCCATCTGGATACAGTAAAGTTAATTCCAAAATAAAGATCTTTAACTTATTCCAGGCACAGTAGTACTAAGAAGGGAGATAACTGTTAAAGATCAATAATTTATTATTGCATATCAGCCACGGCCAGCTGGGGACTGGGCTGCTTTCTCAGGAATAAAATTGAACAAAAGAAATTCTCTTGCTGAATGATTCTGAATAGAGTGAGAAAAATGGGGACCAGATCAGGCTATGTATGTTGTAGAAGGTTGAAGGTTAAAGGAAGTAAGATTTGATAATTCTTTTAAAAAAAAATAATTCTGTGACAAGCGGCAGACTGAAAAATGAACTGTGGCTGCTCTGCGGACATTTGTAGAAATGAGTTTAGGTAAATATGGATCAGCCACGGAAGTTCAGCATTATGATAAAGAAGGAAGCCTCACTTGTCTCTTATACTTGCTCTTTGGAAATATATTCTTCCAAATATAAAGATATATTTAGTTATCATGGATAGTAACTGCTGGTTAGAAAGCTGATTTGTACAGAGCATTGCTTATGGGGAAGACTTTTTTCTAATATGAAGAATGATAATTTAAAAAAAAAAATAATTTGAAGAAATTATTTGTGTTTAGTACTTGGGGCTTTTAGTTTGGGCTTAATTTAACTCCTTGGACATTATTAATCATTTTCTTACTTTCCTCTTTTTGTACAAGTGGAGCTAATGTAGTAAAATGAACAATTATTAGAATAATGATTTGTCTGCATAACTGCAATAATGATGTGTCTGCATAATTGCTAGAATAATGATGTAATGCATAATCACTGGGAAAATTCACTGGGAAAGTTCTGTGTCAGTAATATATGGCTAACCAAATGCGCATTGCACATGGATACTTTGTATGTAGCAAAACCTTCCATTGTATGCCCGTGAGAAACGAACCAAATGTATTACAGTGTATTATCATGTGTAGTCCCTTTGTTCCTGAAAGAAGGGAAGTATAAAAACTGAAGTCTAATCCCGCCCTCCTCATTCAGAATTGCCTATCTCTAATATGCCTCTGAACCTGCGCAAATAAACCTCTCTGCTAAACCCCTCTGGAATTCGTAAGAGTTCTTTCGTTTTCCACAAGAGAGCAAATGGCGAACAATATTCTCCTGCGGCTTGTTTCCAGTCCAAAGAAGAGGCAGCTTTCTAAATTATGTGAGGAACTTAACACAGAAAAGATGAGTTTCAGAAAGGTGGAACTAAGAAGAAGGGATCTGGGATAAAGCTATTGAATGCAGATAAAGCCTTTGAAAAGAATACACAGGAGTTGAGACTGCTACTGCCAGTTGAAATAGACAGTTGAAACAAGTTTATGGCTTGATTGCATAATGGTTTTATGCACTCCTACATATTTCTTAAGTTACCATGGTTGATATTTGTCCTGCCCATATCTCGTTCTTCATAAACAAATTTTGAAGTAGTATGTTGCTGCATTAAATACATTTTACGTATTATTTAATAAACGTTCAGTTCAATATTAATATAAAAAGGGGTTATTCTAACATTATTACTAAATTATTGTTACATAAAATAATAGTTTTATCATGGAAAATTTATCTTTTATAATTGCAAGTTAGTATAATTAATTGCCAGAAAAACTACTGAAAATCATTTCTAAAATTCTAAAATTCAGGGATTAGAAACTAAAAAATGTGTTAATGATCGGTATAATCAGTATAGTTGTGCAAACTGAGATACTAATTTACAGAGTTAGCTATCAGACACTGCTACTTTGTATTGATCTTTCTGTCTGTAATTTATCAATAAAAACTTGCCTCTTGAAATGAACAGTCTGGGAAGGAACTTAGGAGCTAAAACTGGAACAGAAAATTATGAAATGTTTGTTAGTATTAAACAAGTCACTGAAGTGGAATTATGCTTTAAATTGGCCATATCTTCTTAGCCAGCTACACTAAAACCGTTTACCAGATTTTAAAGATCATTTAATTGTGAAAAAATTATGTGCAACTGAAATACTAACATTTTAAAGTCATTTTAGTTAATTTATACACATGACAATTATATCTAAAAAGTAACAAGTTGGGATCTTTGCAAAAGTCTAGAAAATCCCTACAGTATTGCCCAGATGCAAAGCAGAATAAAAATGGGAATCTATGAGATAACAATAGCTACTAGGGGAGTTTGCAGTAGGTTTCCAACAGAAATCCCAGACAAAGGACATAAAAGGTTAATATTTATCATATTAATAACTGTTGGAATATGAGGCAGGGAGTAGTAGTTGCCACAGTTGTGGTAGGATGGATATGAGGGCTTGGGAAATAGTAGTTAGGCATGAGGTGGGGAATTTCAGGGCCACAGAGGAAATGTTGGTAAGAAAAGGAGTTAAACTTATTTGGGAGAAAAGAGATTGAGTAATGATACCAGCTGTGTGTTTTGTGGAATTTAGTCAGCTGAAGATTTTTTGGATGTAGGCATTCAGAACTGGCTCTTGGTATAATGTCATGAATTATATTACTGAAACTGGCTAAGAAGAAAAAGACAACTCATCCATCATATTCTACTTATGTAGTTGTCTGTGGAGATTCTCAGTCATCCAGGTCATAGTTGTCTCAAAGGTGCTTTTTTCAAAAGGCAACTGACTTTTTTTTTCCTTGAGGAAGAAGAACAAAACATTTCGTTTCTCATCCAAGAAACCTCATCAGTTACGATGGCAGGGGGTAGATGGGATGGAAGGATAGGTAGTGACAGTTGAGTCGGCTGGGGGGGATGGAAGGATAGGTTCTATCTATCCAGTCTCAACTGTCAGTACCTATCCTTCCATTCCACCCCCACCCCCATCACAACTGATGAAGTTTCTTGTTCTCAAGGCAAAAAACAGTCCAGTTGCCTTTGAGACATATCTGCATAATTAGAAAATAAAAAATAATGCCCTAAATAAAGTCTGGCCATTTCATATAGTCATCAGCCTTATGCTAGTTCCACTCTATTCCATTTTTATATTCCCACATAAGTGTTCTCATATCCTTGGGATTTTGGTAGAAGGGTGAGCAAGAATTAGAAGAGCATAAAAATCAGTGCTTCAGCCTGGACCCTGACCTCATATTCATCTTTCCTATTTCTTTGTCCTGTTTATTTTTTAAGTGAGTGAGAAAGAAACAAATCAATGATTGTGGAAAAGGATAAAAACAACTAACTGTCTAATTGCTCATGGATATAGAAGGAAAATCCGGGGAGATGGGATAAAGCGAGTATTTCCACCAATAGGAAGGTGCTCATACTGCAACTTCAAAGAAAATGCTACAAAATTGTTTTCTGGGGAAGGAACTATATGAAAAGATAAATTAGCTCAGTTTCTCACATCATTTTGGATACTGTAATGATATGTAAGAATGATCTTGGGAGACCAGGAGAAGACATACTACCCAGAGAATGGGCAGATAAAAGGAAGCTTAGCCCATAGCTGCAGTGTGAGAAGAGCAAGAGACTCATAAGGGGCCCTCACTAAGTTACTGGCTATAATGGTGACAGCAGGAGAATTGTACTTTCAGACTTCTGTTAATGTAGCTTTACAATAAAGTAGTATTAGCTTATATGGCCATGATTCCCATCAGCTCTTCCTAATAAGGCTGACATCAATCTTGCAAGTCTGAAAGTATAATTCTGCTGCCTTCTCCTTTGCAATCTGAGAAGTTAGGGAGAGTCCTTTTTGAGCCTCTCGCTCTGTCCATTATGCAGCTCTGTGTCTGTTCCCGAGGCCAGCAGCCCCCAATCTTTTGGGCACCAGGGACTGGTTCCATGGAGAGAGGATTTTCAGTGGACCGGAGGGGGCGTGGTTATATATATATATATATATTTGTTTTCTGAGGTTTTCGCGGGTGTTTGTATGTAGGTCTTTGGTTATTCGGGTTTTCTCCCGCATAAAATTGGAAGTGTCTTGGCCAAGACACTTCTAATTTTATGCGGGAGAAAACCCAAATAACCAAAGACTTATATATATATAATCTTATTTTTGTGCTAGATAAAGCTTAATTCAGTATGTGTATAATGACTGTAATGATTAGTGACCAGATTCAATAAAACATATTACACTAACCAAGATCTTAAATAGCAACTGTACCAAATTCTATAGGCAGCAAAATCTTTCCAAAATATAGGAGATAGATGATAACTTTCTTTTTGCCAAAAGTTGAATTTTTAGATCAAGTATTCTAATTAGATTTGTAATAGCAATAATTTTTTGATACCTGCAAGATTATCAATCTCCTTTTCTTGCAACAGACTGACAGCATCATCATCCCCTTCTAGCATGAGTTCAGTTTCAGTATTTTGGTTGACTACAGCTTGACTTCGAAAGGTTTTCTTTGATTTCACCACATCTTCTTCAGTTCCTGTAAAATAAACATTGCTTTCATTCAACATTTCAGTTTAGTCTGAACATCCATTAAATGTTTTCAAATACAAAATTAATGGAATTAATTTGTAATTCAAAATATGTTTTCAAACCTTTACAAAAAACAGATATCACGTTTTAGACAAAAATGGGTTAGGATTATTGGTTATTATTATGTAAACTTCAAAATAAAAGATAAAACCATAAAAAAGAAAGTATCACACTACTGGCAGTTCCTATGTTATAACAACCTAATAAGGCACATGCACTAGAAATGCAGTAGTCATTTAGTTGAATTTGCTCAATGTGCAGTTTAACAATTCATATAAATCTTTTTGAAATTAATTTTGTTTTACAATATGAAAAATACATTTTTTAAAGAATTGCTTGGGTTCTTTAGTATGATTGAAACTGCAGGTTTTTTTTGTCATTCTCTATCATTCAGTTTGTCACAATGTAATAAACATTTATCTAAATGACAGTGTAGGACACCGAAAGCTACCCTTCAATCAATGTATCCTTTATGAATTAGAATTCAATTTATCAAAATTACAGAAAGAACTATAATGTCACAGGGGGCTGGCTCATTACAAGGTTTATAAACACTGTCCTTACAAAGAAATGGTTTAACACCTAACAAATCAAACTTTGATTGGGCACAGAATTTATTTGAGATCATCTATCTTCAGAAACATGCTATACTGAATGGACTTTTTGGCCTCACTATACATTCATCAAGAAATTAACAAGCAGCTTCAATAAACCACTGCATTACCTTGTATCCTGTAATATGCAATATGTTCTGAGCAGATTTGTTAAAGATAGTCTAGTTATATAATTTTAAAGAGGTATTCTCGAAAGACAATATTTTTCTTTTTCAAAGCAGAAGGGCACAGAATCAGTTTGAAAATGCATTTGTTTTGAATTATGCATAGCTAATAATACTAACACTGAACATGATATAATAAAGGCCAACATTGTGACTATTTAGCATTTTTATAATTAAGCATTCAGATTAAAAATTGATATTAGTTCTGGTGAAGATGATCTCTATGTGATGAGGCAATCAATCAATAAATATGTATATGCATATGCATATATGTACATTATCATTAACATTTTATGAAAGGATATTGCTAATAATAAGCTTCCTTGATTATGATTGTAAGGTTTTGGACCTTTATTTTTATTTCATTAAACATTGGCCGAGATCCTAATTGCATTTTGGAATAATGATTGGATTTGTCTACTGTTGTTTTTTATTTATTTTTAGTCTTTAAATATATCAAGAATCTTGACTATTTAATATTCAAATTGGAACCTCTTGCAAATTCCTGTTACACTTAGAACAGAACTAGCACACTTTAAAATAAAACACTCCTTTAATAATGTTAATTTGAATGTATATTTAAACGTTGTAAAATATATCAAATAATAAACAATGTTACTTAATTGATATAAGGTAGTCAGCATTAAGTAAGACATTAACAAGCCTTGAGGTTTATAAAATAATTTCATTATTTTACAACTTTATTCTAATACATGGCATAAACACATCTACATTTCTGTTTTATATATAGCATTTAGACTGTAGTTATTGTGTTCCACATTCAATATTTAATCAAAAATACTTTAAGCACATATTTTGTAATATAGGCCTGCCTTCTGAATTTTAATATTAATGGCAGTATTTTGGTTATTTTTTATTTCAGACCACAAGCCAAGTAACTAATCAAAGAGTTAGATAAAATATTTATCTGTTTTTCTATTTTCAGAATTTAAACTGTCATAGATAAATGAAAAAGATTACTTAAATTTTCATTCTAAATTTGGTACATTTAAATGATTGCAAATGCAGATTCATTTTAATTTACTGTGCCTTAAAATCTGATCTGTATTCTTTTTTAGGAACTCGGGGGATGACATTCAAATTTCCTGTTAATTACATGAATTTAAGTGAAATGCACAAATGATTATTATTATTTTTTGGGGTGTAACAACAAAGACATTTCTTGGTCTTCTGGAAAACTGCATGCAACTTTAGAGATACTTGTATTTTTTCCCCATTTCCTGCTTGCTTTCTTTAAATATTTTCAATTTCTAAAATAACAATATATGATTTTCTAATGTTTTTGTACCAGATATAATGGAATACAACACTACACTACCATTGCAATGAACAATTAAGGTCTAGGACATATTTTGACCTAGCCAAATTTTATCATCAATCTTTATTATGTTATTTGTTGCAGATTACAACTGTATTAATTCAGCATAAATGTAAATGTAAAAGACAGAAAAATAATGGATGGAAAATATACCATTGATGGATTAAAATTAAATTTATTAGGAAATCATAGTATAGAGAAATAATAAGGTACACAAGGTATGTTTCAAACCGCTGCATATCTTGTACTAACTATATTGACAGAATTAGCCCTAATGGTTTTGAGAAAAATTTAGTTGGACCATGGAAGATTTTTTTTTAGATATTTCTATACCTTGGCTTATGAATCAATGACACTAAAGGCACTCACTTGGATCAAAAGGAACATTATACTAAATAATTCTATTGATAAAATGCACGAGGCACGAACCTATGTAATCATCCACTTTCATGGCACATTTGTCAATTATGAAGTTTGGTTGGTTATAGACACAATCTACCTACTAACTTTTTAAAAAAAATGAAAAGTATAGTTTTATATAATTAATCAGTAAAAGGGGAATGAAAAATTACATCCACAGTAGATCACTATTTTTTTAAATAAAATAACAATAATAAAAAGAAAAATTGAATTAGATGCATTGAAATAAAAGGTATTATTAGTAGGTAGAGCATATTAGATTTATGGGCCACCCAGCTTGTCTAGAGGTGACTTAAAAGTATGTTGAATAGTAAACCAAAACTCTTATGAAACCAAACAAAATGGGCCATTTATTCAATTTAATAAGAACCTTTTCTTTTCTCTCTCTCTCTCTCTCTCTCTCTCTCTCTCTCTCCCTCCCTCCCTCCCTCTTTGTCTGCATTTTCCTCTCCTCTTTTCCTTTCTATGCATACATTTCATAAAGAACGAGAAAACAACCATAAAATAGAAAAACAGACAAACTTTTTAAAAAAGCATTTGACACATCAACATTGATTTGAGTAACATCCATATTTTCTTCTAAAATGTCATTTAAACTTGTAAATTCTCATTTAGATTCTTTAGGTCACAGCTGGTTCTAGGTATGCAAGCTAAACATCAAAGATTACCTGCTGTGTCCATAACTATTAGAAGTCAGTTCAAGGCTACTTGAATAAATGCACAGACAGTATGTGGCTGATTTTAGACATGAGTTGACTGAAGGGTAAAAATGCACAAAATTTCACATCCAAATCTAAGTCAAACACACAACTCAGTTCAAACAAACTACTCAACATCATAATTCATTAACATCTATTTGACTTTAAAGTCACTAATTTCATTTTAAAGGTAAAGTGGAAATAACAGTACAGTTAGTTTAGTAGCTGCGATACTAACCAAAAGAGAATTCTGCTTCTTTCAGAATTCATTCCACAGCTTACTTCAGTGAATTATAGATAAGGCAATTTATGCAGTGATTTTCCTTTCATCTTTGAAGAGGACTGGCAGAATGGAAAGTTAACTCATTTTAGTGTTACCTAAATGTACTGACAGGACATTCTAATGTTTCCAAACATCTGGAAATCAGCTTCATGGGGTGATTTCTTTCCTTAAAGAATGCTTTTTCTTATATTTTACAGCTTTGTGTGGCTTCTAAATGTGTGTCAACATACCGAAAGTTTGTCCCATTAACAATAAAACAATGAGCTCAAGTAAAAAAAAAATATTTTACACAATAAAATTGTAAGGTGAAACTTTCCTCTTGCTTCTTTCTGAAACTACTAAGTCAGTGTGCAACTTTTACTGTCTTAAGTTCTGAAATAGTCATAAGTAGTCTTCATAAAAATACCATTATTTCACTACCTGTTATAGTATACATTTTTTTCTAAGCAATATTATTTTTGGTTCATTTATTATTGTATTGTTCTATGATTATAAGGTAAGTGTAAAATAAAGACATTCAAAGTATAATCATATGACTGCAGCATACTATCAGGATGAAACTGAGAAATATGGCAAGAAGGCATTTGGATTTCTTCACAACTGGGTGTGCCATAAACTAAAAAAAATCTGGCCTGATTCCTGCCAAACATATCATTATTCTGGTATTAGCAAAACAACAACAACAACAACAACCAAAGGGTATCTTGCTAACTGAGTCTGATGATCTAAGAATACACCAGAAGAAGGTACTGACCTTATAGAACTACTATATATCAGGATGTAAGATCCCAATTTGGTGCACTTCACTAGCAAGTTCTTTACAAATTCTCAAGAATATCTTAAGTTCTCCTTGGCTTCATTCTACCTGAAATTCTAGGGGTCCTAACTGCATGGTTCTTGAGCTGCAATCTGAAATCCATTCTAAACCTTTTTGCCAGTTTATCAGTATTGTATTACTGTGATCAGTAAGAATTAAAACATCAAGGCGATAAAGGCAATAACATTAAAACCATTGCTTTTCACAAGTATTCATCCTAAGAATTTAAAGTAGCTTACCTTATTCTTTATACAAAACCATCCTGAAATCATAATTGTCCATATGAGATTGAATTGAATATGACTGAACTCCTACAGTTTCTAATGCCCTCTGATTTTAAATAACTCTATATAAAATTCTTCTTTTAACTAAGAATGTAAGATGTTGCTGTTTTTTATCTCGTATTAGAAGATCAGGAAATAGAGCATTACAATTCAGTTTGGTAAAGTGGCAGAAAATAAAAACACCTTTTTGAAAAGCAGTAAATATATAGCATACATTTGTAAAACATTTCATGCAACAGTTTTGTTCAGATGGGGACATAAAAGCATACTATTATTTCTCACTTCTTGATGCTTTTCCTTCTGCATTAAATGTAGAAGGTGATACAAT